TTTTAGATGTTCAACAATCCTTTAACATGGTTTCCATCACTTTCCCCACTACTGAATTAAGGCTTACTGGCCTATAGTTGCCCGACTCCTCCCTATTATCTTTCTTGTAAATGGGCACAACATTCGCTAACCTCCAATCTTCTGTGACTACTCCTGTTAACAATGATTGGTTAAATAAATCTGTTAATGGTTTTGCTAATACACCACTAAGCTCTTTTAATAGCTTTGGGTGTTTTCCATCAGGTCCCATTGACTTATTTGTCTTTACTTTTGACAGTTGAAATAGAACCTCTTCCTCTGTAAACTCACGTGTAATAAATGACTAATTTATCCTTTTTCTTAACTGAGGTCCCTTTCCTTCATTTTCATCTGTAAATACAGAACAAAAATATTCATTGAGGCAGTCAGCTAGACCTTTATCCTCTTCTACATATCTTCCTTATTTTGTTTTTAATCTAACTAATACTTGTTTTACTTTTCTTTTCTCATTTATATAGCTAAAAAAAGTTTTGTCCCCCTTTTTTACTGACTGTGCTAATTTCTCTTCTGTGTGTGATTTGGAAGCTCTTATAACTTGCTTAGCCTCTTTCTTTTCTCTTGGACTCTATTTAAATTGATCCAGTCTGATAATGACTCCTCTACACATATTCTAATTTTAGAAAAGTCTGTTTTTCTAAAGTCTAAAACTTTTGTTTTTCTGTGGTGTGACTCAGTCACTGTTCTTATATTAAACCACACTGACTGATGATCACTGGATTCTAAACTTTCACCTACAGTAATATCTGATACCAAATCTCCATTTGTTAACACTAAATCTAGTATGGCCTCTTTACGAGTTGGCTCCTCAACAACTTGTTTTAGAGACAATCCCAGTAGGGAGTTTAGAATATGTGTGCTCCTGGCACAAGTAGCTAATTTTGTTTTCCAATTTACATCAGGAAAAGATCCCAAGGCACCCACTCAGGATTGGGGAAGACCCCAGCTGGAAAAGCAAGCTCTCTCACAAAGCTCTTCAAATACTATGTGAACAGCATGAGGGACCTCGCTGACTCCAACACGGCGCTTGTGGCATTACAATCAGAATCCAACCTGCCAAGCCCAGCTATGTCAGAAGGCACTGTGGGCTATACAGACCCAGATATTGTCTGGGGCAAGGACTAAGACTACCCACCCATAGACGACTACAATGTTTAATTTACATCAACCGGGCTACATCTAACTACAATCAAAGGCACAGAGGAGTACAGAGGGATCTCGTACCCAAAGGGACGCTCTTAACTCATGCATCGGATATAGATCTGTTTATTGAACTTGGGATATAGACATTATTTTATTAATATACTTTTGCGAGCTGATTGCAGCTGTTTATATGTATATATATACACACACACACACACACACACTATTGAGCTAACTGTAGTCACCCAACTACATATTTCCTCTAGCTGACCGCAGCTGCTCACTAGAGATGTTGCGAACTGTCCGCGAACTTCTCGCGAACGGTTCGCGGCGAACTCCGGTCAGCTGACACATCCCGGCCAATCTCCGGCAGACCCTCCCTCCCAGACCCTCCCACCTCCTGGACAGCATCCATGTTGAAGTTGCCTTCAACATGGATGCTGTCCAGGAAGTAGGAGGGTCTGGGAGGGAGGGTCTGCTGGAGATTGGCCGGGATGTGTCAGCTGACCGGAGTTCGCCACGAACTGTTCGCAGCGAACCGTTCGCGAGAAGTTCACAGACGGTTCGCGACATCTCTACTGCTCACCTGTATATATAAATTTTTGGTTTCTTTTTTTATTTGCACAAGTGTCCATTCTTAGTGTATACATAGTTAGACTATATAGAGTGTGTTGTATGTTTTGTTCACTGTCCCACTTGGACTTTTAAACAGTATCTATTAAACTATTAGTTTTAAATTTTGGATTATTTATGTACGTTGCCCCTTTAATTTTCTTTTTTTTGTCAATTTTGGGCACCTGTCCTAAAGAAGGATATCATGGCATTAGAAAAAGTGCAGAAACAACTTACAAAATTGATAAAAGAAATGGAGCATTTTAGTTACGAAGAAAGGTTAACAAATTTAAATCTCTTTCGTTTGGAAAAACGGTTCCTCAGAGGGGATATGATAACATTATACAAATATATTCCGGAACAGTACAAACCATTATTTGGAAATCTATTCATAAACAGGTCTATACAGAGAACACAATGTCACACATTTAGGGTGGAAGAAAAGAGATTTAATCTAAAGCAAGGAAAAGTTTGGGGTTTTTTTTTCAATAAAAGCAATAAGGAAATGGAATTCTCTGCCTGAAGAGGTGGGTTTTGTCACATCATGCCATGTTCTACGGATATGTCTGGCTTTGGTTTCTGGTATCCAGTACCCTTTTTACAATTCTTGTTTAGTTTTTCTTGTTTTTTTGGTTTTCTATTCTATGTCTGGTTCTCTTTATGCTGGGTTTTTCTGGGTTCATTTCTGTAATCCGTCCCTGGAATTCCCAGTGTCCAGGTTTCCTTTAAATGTTTGTTTTATGTTGCCACACCCGTTTGTTTTACATTTTCCTTTTGTTTCAGTCTGGACCTGCAGCAGTGTTTCAAGTCTCTGCCCTTTCTTGCAGGTAAGTGCTATTGTGGTTTAATATGGTTCTTTTAGCGAACATTAGGCAGTGTAGGACCTGCCAAATATGGGGTACATTGGCGTTGTGGCAGGCTTATGCAATGTATGATCATATAATGTAACTAAATCCCTATACCTTTCATAAATAGTGCTTAGTTATGTCTCCTCTTGTTTTGCCTATTATATCTTGTCTTTATTTTGTTAACCCAGTCCATGTACAGTCCTGTTCTGTCCTGCCCCTGTTTAGTTAATGTTCCCTTATGTATTGTGTACATGTTCTGGGTTTAGCTTCCTATCCTTCTCTGGTTCTGGGTTCTACTAGTTCTGTCTTGTTTTCATGTTTGGTGCCTGTTCTAGCCTTAGATGTCTGCTGCAGAGGCCCCCTATGCAATTCCTGGGAGGTCTGCATATCAAGCTCCTAGTTCCTGGGATCCGCTGTAGCTGCATCAGGGTTCTGGTATGTGGCCACGCAAACGCTGGTGCTCAACACCAGGGGGCGTGTGGTTACCCTGCATCAGGCCCTGATAATCCACTTTCATGCTGGAGACGCCCAACTGTTCATCAGTCATACTGGTTCCCGGTTTCCGTACCACCACCCGTGACAGGTTTTATCACAGTCCATACAGACGTTTAAACAAAAATTGGATAAAAACTTGCAAAAACATAACATACAGGGATATAATTTCTAATTAGTGGGAAAATAGATGCTTGATCCAAGGAAATATCTGACTGCTATTTTGGGGTCAAGAAGGAATTTTTTCCTAGCTTGTTGCAAAACTGGAAGCGCTTCAGACTGGGATTTTTGCCTTCTTTTGGATCAACAGCAAAAACATATGTGAGGAAGGCTGAAATTGATGGACACACGTCTCTACAGTCCCATATCTGTAAATCAGTCCATAGGAATATCCACAAGAAAGGTCAAATCCAGTCTGGTCCGGCAACAGTAAATCAGTCCATAGGAATGTCCAAGAGAAGGGTCAAATCCAATCAGGTTGGGCAACAATTAATAAGCAAAGTAAGTCCGAGAGAAGTGTCAAAGTCCAATTCGGGTTGGTAATAAGTAACAAGCAAATAATTTTAACTGGGAATTAACTTTGAGGGGAATTGGAAGAGTCACGGGGACTTGGTGGAAAGGTACCTGTAGTAGAGTAAATAGGTGTCATCTGCACACGGGTAGAGACACATTAATTGTGCACTGAGAAATTGAAGTTGAAGGTTTAAATAGGTGGATCCATGAACTTCAATTAGACTCTTAAAGTGATAGATTGGAAAGTGAAGTGAACCATTTAAAGGAACCATTACATCCCCTTACCCATCACCCTTATACCCGATAGCTCACAATCCACTATTCAAAGTAAGGGAAACCGGAACGACATACAGAGACTATCGCTTGACCCCATACTTGACTTTGGGGACTCTGATAAACGACTTAAGTGTAAAACCACTAGCTACCCCCCCTCGCCCCCAAATGAGACCCATTCCGCTATACAGAAATTCCACTATAACCAACTACTACATTTTGTCCGTACTGGACTATACGTATAAAGGGGGTCCCACGCGCACACAAACCAAATTGAACGGCAGCCAGTCTCCTATTGGCTGGCATGGACTTCCAGACGGCCAGTGGGACTCTGCAGCCGTGAAGCTGCCTTAGAGGGCTTCTGCTGTAGCTCATGCCTCCCTCTCCGGTGGATATCTCCCTGTAAGTAGCACCAGAGAGAGAGAGCTCTTTGGGCAGCCAATAGCCCAGAAAGTGATTAGGCTCCTTTAACCCCTTAGTGACCAGACCAGTTTTCAATTTTCTTACTGTTAAGGATCAGGGCTCTTTTTATATTGTTATGATTCAATAATATTTAGACTGAAAATTGTGGAACACAACTAAAGAATTAATTGATGGTACTATGAAAAACCAAAGAGAACTTCCATTATAATTTCTTGAGAGGTTTTATTCTCCAGAGAGAGCACCGGAGAGAGAGCGCTCTTTGGGCAGCCAATAGCCCAGAAAGTGATTAGGCTCCTTTAACCCCTTAGTGACCAGACCAGTTTTCAATTTTCTTACCGTTGAGGACCAGGGCTCTTTTTATATTGTTATGATTCAATAATATTTAGACTGAGAATTGTGGAACACAACTGCAGAAGTAATTGATGGTACTATACCTTTAAGAAAAACCAAAGAGAACTTCCAATATAATTTCTTGAGAGGTTTTATTTTCTCTTATTGAATCAAGTTAAAGACAATTTGTCTAATACTTCCAATTTTGGCATTAAGGAAAAATGAAACCTTTATGCAATTGTCTTGTTTGCATTAAAAGGAAAACATAATAAAGAAAGTCCCCATTTATGCAAATAGGTTTCTTAAATCAATTTATAATTAAACTGAAATGGCACATGAGAATTGATTTTTCTTAAATGCAGGCTGCAGCAATGATTAACTTGATAAATGGCACAATGAATTTGATTCTCCTTATATGCAGATTAAAGCAATATAAAAACTTGATAAGTGACACATATAATTTGATAATCATTATATGAAAGGGACGCTATAGTCACCTGAACAACTTTAGCTTAATGAAGCAGTTTTGGTGTGTAGAACATGCCCCTGCAGCCCCACTGCTCAATCCTCTGCCATTTAGGAGTTAAATCCCTTTGTTTATGAACCCTAGTCACACCTCCCTGCATGTAACGTGCACAGCCTTCCATAAACACTTCCTGTAAAGAGAGCCCTATTTAGGCTTTCTTTATTGCAAGTTCTGTTTAACCCCTTAAGGACACATGACATGTGTGACATTTCATGATTCCCTTTTATTCCTGAAGTTTGGACCTTAAGGGGTTAATTAAGATTTTCTTGTCCCCTGCAATGTTAATAGCTTGCTAGACCCTGCAAAAGCCTCCTGTATGTGATTAAAGTTCAATTTAGAGATTGAGATACAACTATTTAAGGTAAATTACATCTGTTTGAAAGTGAAACCAGTTTTTTTTTTCATGCAGGCTCTGTCAATCATAGCCAGGTGAGGTGTGGCTAAGACCTTATTTGGAGGGTGCGCATTCCAGTTTTCCAACTTGGAATTTTCTCAGCTGGTCCTCATGCACCCATGTCTCATTTGGGACATTTTTGAAGAAGGCCAATGTAATTTACTCCCATCAAACCAGATATTTTTGAAAAGCAGAGACTCTAGGCAATTTCAAATGGTGGTATTTTAACACTTTCAATGCAGAAATTCTACCACCAGTCTTTTTCAAACTTTTGGGTAGTAATTTTTTGTGTTATTTTTCTCTCACATTCTACTTTAGGCATGGATTCTCAGTTCCTGTTATGTGTTACTGACAAAGAACACCCCAATATGTGTTCAGCAACATCTCCAAAGTACAACAGTGCCCCCAATGTACAGGTTTTAAGGGTTTTTGCAAACTGACTGGGGTCAAATGTAGGGCTTTCCCCTTTTCCATGCTTGCACAATTTGCCAGATTGGTTTACTGGGCCTATGTTGCCTTTGAGGCCGTATAGCAGCCCCACAATGAAAATTAACCCCATCATGGCATTTTTAAAAGTACATAGCCCACGGTATTCAAAATGGGGTAGTTCAAGTCTTTTGTAATAGCCACTTAGCCACAAAAGCTTGCCAAAGTTAAAGCGGCACTTCATGGCCGAATCCTGTCTTTTTAAACCCCTCTCCTGACTCCACTACATCTAACTGACCCTGTAGTAACCCTCAAGCTCCTAAGCTAAATATTACCTATTTTTAAACTTTATTTTCTGCCCCAATCTATTTTCAGGGTGCCGCCATATTTCTGTGGGTAGAGGAAGTCCCTGTAGGAAACGTCATGCGCGGCGGGTGTGGTCCCTAAATAACAATAAGAGGGTAGGACCACCCTTCAGTTTAATGTGTTTTTTATTTTTTTTTTACAGTGAGCAGCCACTAGCTGCTCACTGTTTACTAGACATGCTCCTACTCACGGTATAGCCAGTAGGGGCTGAATTTACTAATACTAAGTAATCTTTACTTAGTATTAGTAATGTGGCTGAAAGACCAATTTAGGTCTTTCAGCCTTTTGGTAGATAGCTCCCTGATACCGTAGGAATTAGGGAGTTATGTACTAAGCGGCTGCAAGACGCAGCAGCGGCAATGAATAGGATCGGAGTTTCATTCATTCCGATAAGAACAAAGTCCCGAAATACATCCTAACACGAATGGAGAAACTGTTCTCATTCTGTTAGGAAGCAATTCAGCAGTTTTGCCAGCGTCCTGTCTAAGTGACAGGACGTTCGGGAATACTGACAGGAAGCATCGTGGGAACAGGGAGGATAGCTAAGGATTGTGGGAAAATTTCTCTGACCACTGGAAATGAAGCACATTTTGCTCCTCCGCTGGTCATAGCTGGTCATGGTGTAGGAAACCTCCAGAAGAGAAATAGTCCCTGCTTTGTCTTATGTTTTAAAGAAATCTAGAGCAGATCGGAAGAAATGAAGAACAGATCCTGACAGAAGGAGAGAAGGGGAATCGATTGGGGAAAGGTAAGTTCGGCATGACAGTGCCGCTTTAACTTTCATATTTGTTTTTGCATTTTTTTTTTTTATTAACTGCCCTTTTACTGGTGGTATCATCATCGTGATAAGTTTTTTACTTTTTAAAACACTCATATTTGTGTTCAGCAAAGTCTCTTGGGTATAACAATACCGCCCATGTACAGGTTTGATGGTGTTTTGGAACGTTACGGGCTTAAATATAAGGTTTGCCAATTAAATTTTTTGGACTGTCTGCCTGATTTGTCAGACAGGTCCCTCAAATTATAATTAATAAAATCAAATAATTATGTAGTTAATAGTTAAATATATATTATTATGTTATTTATATAGCGCCATCAGATTCCGCAGTACTTTACAATGGTTGGACCAACAGACATGTACTGTAGTTGTAACCAGACAAGTTGGACACACAGGAACAGAGGGGTTGAGGGCCCTGCTCAATACTACATACAATACACAATACTACAATACACAATACTTACATACTAGAGGGAGTGGGGTAAAATGACACAAAAAGGTAAGGATAGTATTAGACTAGTGACAGTTGCAGAAGAGGAATCAGTCAGGAGCTATGAACAGTTAAATTAATACAATTTTATGAAGAAGTGGGATTTTAACAATTTTTTTGAAGGAGTGGAGACTGGGTGAGCATCTAACGGAGGAGGGAAGTGAGTTCCACAGGATCGATGCAGCCCTCGAGAAATCTTGAAGGCGAGCATCAGAGGTGGGAGTACGGACAGAAGATAGACTTAAAGCGGCACTGTCATGCCGAACTTACCTTTCCTCAATCTCTTCCTCTTCTCCCCCTCTCTCAGGATCTGTTATTCTTTTCTTCCTGTGTTCTTTAGTTTTCTTTAAAATCATAAGACAAAGTAGGGACTCTTTGCCTTATGGAGGATTCCTCCGCTTGACCAGCTCTGACCAGCGGAGGAGCAAAGTGTGCTTCATTTCCGCTGGTCAGAGCAATTTTCCCATGATCCCTAGCTTTCCTCTGTGATCCCACAATGCTTCCTGTCACTTTACACTAAACTGCCTAATTGCGTTCGAACTGAATGACAACAGTATGTTCGTTTCTTTTAGAACGCAATTCGGCATTTTATTCGGATCGGAATTTCATTCTAATGAATGAAACTCTGATCCTATTCATTGCTGTGGCTGCATTTTGCAGCCGCTTAGTAGATAACTCCCTAATTCCCACGGTATCAGGGAGCTATCTACTAAAAGGCTGAAAGACCTAAATTGGTCTAACAGCCAACTTTACTAATACTAAATAAAGATTACTTAGTATTAGTAAATAATATGCCCCTACTCGCTATATCGCGAGTAGGGGCATGTGTAGTAAGCAGTGAGCAGCTTATAGCTGCTCACTGTAAAAAAAATATAAATAAAAAAACTAATAAACCCCCCCCCCCATGCCCGTGGGGGCCCTAAATAAAGATGGGGGGGAACCTAC